TCTTCCACGGGTCATCAGATTTTACAATAATATGCCCCATTCTTCTTTGCCTGTGAATCCTGAAACGAACGTTTACTTTACGCCGAATGAATTCGAGGCCAGTGAAATTGATGATCACTGGTATCGAAATCCAGAAAAAGAACCATTCTGGATAGTCGACGGTCAATTAAAAAACCTTAAGGAAAGCATTGACGAGTTCAGAAAATGAAAATCTCGAGCAAGTTCAATAAATTTTCAACAAATTCTCAAATCATTACGAATAAACACTTAATATTATCGTATTTAGATCTTTTTAATACAATTATTTACTTACTGATGATTCATTGCAAATCGTAGATTTGGATGATAAGTTATATAAGAAAAGTTTCCGAGCTTACCGCTTAAAACAATAGCCTACATCATATCTACGAATACCTCGTTACTCCGAGGTTCAGGTTAGTAAAAATCAATCTAAAAATATTTTTATGTACGTTAATGTAATCTGAGAGTGAGAGGCATATAGTATGCCTATATACCTCTCACCCTTCAATTCCTACCAGAAAGTTCGAAAACTTGGTCTCAATCAGATGCAATTGCGACCAAGTTTTCGAACTTTCTCGAGGGAATAGGAGCCTACAAAGCACTGATTATGTATCAGTGCCTGGTAGGCTCCTATTCACTTTCTAAATGGGAGAAACTTTGCTTTCATAAGATAACATACGAACAAAGTTTCTCCCATTTAGAGTTTGAATTGAAGGGTGCGGGGTATATAGGCATACTATATACTTCTCACCCTTCAATTCCTATGAAAACAGTTATAAAATCTCGTAAACGAAAAAGGGGATTTGACGGAGTCAAATCCCCGCTCACAAAAAGTGGACTTTACATGTCAAATTTTATATGCATGTAATGTCCACTTTTATGAGTTTTAGGAAGGAATTGGAAGCCATGAGTTACTGACATTGCATCAGTATCTCATAGCCTCCAATTCCTTCAAAAAATCGGAGAAACTTTGTCCGAATAGTTTAACATTCGGACAAAGTTTCTCCCATCTTTCAATGTAATTGCTACCTGTGAGGTACTGACTTGAAGTCAGTGCTTCACAGGTAGCAATATCCAAAAATTTAAAAACATTTTATCAGTTCGTTAGAGAACTAGAGCCTCCTAGGTACTGAACCAGAATCAGTGCCTAGGGGACTCTAGTTATCTATATAAATCTGAGAAACTTTGAGGAAATTGTTCGACATTTCCTCAAAGTTTCTCAGCAATTTAGCGAGGAATGTTCGTTATCGTGTAGATATTTATAATATATACATGATAACAAACATTCCCCGCTAAAAGATGTAAAATCTTATAAGAAATAATTGCAAAAGAATAACAAATTGCAACAAATTTTATATGAAACTGAACCTTATGAGGTAGTGATTCAAGATCACCGCCTCATAAGATTCAGTTTCAATCTCAAGTATCTCAAAAGTAAGGCTCTATTTTTTGCCACGTAAAGTGTCACTTTTCTGTCAAACCGTTTTTATCGTTTTTGTTTACAACAAAAATAAAAATAAAAAACAAACTTAAATTAACTATTAAATTTTTTATATTTTAATTTCATATTTTTAATAAAATTCCTTATATATTATAATTATTATATTAAAAACCCTTTCGAATTTTGGCGTGAAAAATAAGAGTAAGTGTCACTATTTGTCACTTTTTCTAGTGACCCTTTTCGGTCCGGAACAATTTCTGACCTGAAGAAAGGTGTGTCCAGGCGGCATCGGAATTGATCGGGAAATCGGGATAAAAGTATTCAATTTTATCCCGATAAATCGGGATGAAAGTACTCAATTTTTAATCGGGACGGAATCACTACACATTTGATAGAAACATTATTTAAAAATCGTTTGAATATATAATATGCAACTACAGAAGATATAGGAGAATGTTGTGTATGTTTCATTGGATTTAATTTCATATTGGACGAAATTGCAAAAAGATTCTTTTGAATTTTGGTTTAATAAAAGTGTAAATGTCATATACTGTTAGTGTATGTAATAATAGATATGGTAATACTAATAAACATATATGATACCGATAATCATCAAAAGATCAGATATTACATTTTTATAAATATCAGGGATATTAATGTTTTATCGGTACTATTGCATACTTAGAGATATATTGAAATGTGGGAATAACGGGTATTCGGAAAAAGAACAGGATATTCATAATATTAATTTATATGATTTTAAATTTGAAATGATTTGAATAGTTAGATGTGTTTGTGAAGTTTGGTAATATGATACAGATTGATTCGTATAAGAATATAAGTGAATTTGTGATTTTTAAAAAGAAATTTTTAGTAAAGATATATTTGAATGGAGAAATATTTGAGAAGCATTGAAAATTTGAGAAGAAAATTGAAAAGGGTATAAAAATGAAAAAGTAAAAATTAATAACGTAATAACATGTTTTAATAAGTTTTAAATAAATTTATAATATAAAAATATATTAATGATAAAATAAATTTGAATAAGGTTTTGAAAATAAATTGAAAAGCAATTGAATAAATAATAAATGAAAAATATATTACAGTAGGTATTCAGAAAAAATATATATGAAAAAAAGTTAAAAAACATAAATTGATGATGAATAGATAAATATAACTAGAAGGAAAGTTAAAGATTTATTTAGTAAGGGAATGATAGAATAAACAAAAATTAAGTAAGTTTGTTTCTAAGATGTCTTATTGAAAAACAGATTTGTCTGATCACAAGCACTTAAGACTTTTATAACAATAGAAATGTGTTTATGATATTGAAATAGTCAAATTACAATTTTTTTCTAAGATGTCTTATATCACTATAATGTTTTATTGTTTCCATTCAAACTATAATTACAATTCTATACAAAATCCAAAGTTAGTATGGTTATGTTGGGTACTGTGGCACTGCGCGCCTCCTTACCCATTATATGTGAATTTGACACTTTACAAAACCGTTAACGTATATTTTACAACACAAACGACAACACTAACTTAACCTTAAATATTTATAAAACCGCCAACCACTTCACTAACGAACTCACTAATGTAAAAAATAAACGTTCTCACTATCGTTCTCACTAACGACTTCACTAATGTTCTCATAAATTTTCCTCAATAAGTTAGTAAACATATCTTGGGTACTGTGGCACTGCGCGCCTCCTTACCCATTATATGTGAATTTGACACTTTACAAAACCGTTAACGTATATTTTACAACACAAACGACAACACTAACTTAACCTTAAATATTTATAAAACCGCCAACCACTTCACTAACGAACTCACTAATGTAAAAAATAAACGTTCTCACTATCGTTCTCACTAACGACTTCACTAATGTTCTCATAAATTTTCCTCAATAAGTTAGTAAACATATCTTGGGTACTGTGGCACTGCGCGCCTCCTTACCCATTATATGTGAATTTGACACTTTACAAAACCGTTAACGTATATTTTACAACACAAACGACAACACTAACTTAACCTTAAATATTTATAAAACCGCCAACCACTTCACTAACGAACTCACTAATGTAAAAAATAAACGTTCTCACTATCGTTCTCACTAACGACTTCACTAATGTTCTCATAAATTTTCCTCAATATCTTCATCATCAGTGTTAACCCTATTGTAGTCATACTTGAAGCCATAAACTTTCTCTAACTTCTTAACGTACAATTTACATAACTTACCTTCGTCATCGTATGGTTTAATGATATAACTATTTCTATCTTTATACACAGTCAATGAAAAGTCAACTGGTCTCGGATGTATTTGAAAGAACATGTTATGCTCAGGAAGGAAGAATAAATGTTTAAATGTATGTTTGTTATACTGTGGAATTCGAATGAGTTGCTTTTGTTCTGTCATTTACATCCAAATAAAATAAAAAATAAACTTAAAAATAAACTTAAAAATAAATGATATCACCACCCTCACACGTATGAAAACATAGCACAAAAATAAATTTAGGTGAAGTGGTGAAATCTCACCTCTTTTTTCACCTCTTTTTTCACCCGTTGAATTCATTACTTTATAACTCTCTTCCTTTCTCCAACTCTTCTAACTTCTTCTTAAGTTCAGCAATGTTGTCCTCATGAAGTTTAATCTTTCTCAAAATTCCTTCTTTATCTAATGGTTGCTTTATCTTTCTAAACTGAACTCTACCATCTTTCATAGTATGAATGTAAAAACCTTCTGGAATAATTCCTGATTTAATGTATTCTACCAAAAACTTTTGTTTCATTGCTTCAGTGACTTTAGTCGTCATTTTACTCTAAGGTGAAGCTAGCACAGCGATAATGGATTTCATGACTTTTTAGTATTTCATGCAATCTTAACAGATAGCCTTACAAGTACTTCCAGTGTCCCTAGCTGTCCCTCCTTTTTATATAACTCCATGACATTTATAATCTCGCGAAACTTAACAGGTAGCATAACAGATAATTAAAATCAGATGAGGTTTTGAACCAAAATTTCTAAGCAACGTTGTCAAGGATTTTGAGGAACTAGGGACAGAGTGTGGCAAAGTCCAAGATTTAATTTATCTTCATCTGTTTCATCAGTTATCTTATCTAATATGCCAATATTTTATTCATAACTCGTGGCAAACTCACTAACTTTCATTATGTTCATCTGCATGCTTCATCTGATAGAAAGTATGACTTTCATTAACTCTGTGAGATAATGAAAACTACTAGGGACAGAGACCATGGCAAAGTTTATGACTTTCATTATTTCCAGAACTTAATGAAAACTACTAGGGACAGAGACCATGGCAAAGTTCATGATTTAATTTATTCTCTCACTAACAACAAACACAAACTCCAACACTAACATCAAGTACTAACTTCAGCACAAATGACAAACGCTAACAACAAACACAAACTCCAACACTAACATCAAGTACTAACTTCAGCACAAATGACAAACGCTAACAACAAACACAAACTCCAACACTAACGACAAAAATAAATGTCCTCACTTCTTAACAAAGTAATATGTGCTTCTTACACCACCATAGCTCAAACGTTTCTTTTCAAACATCGATTGAAACTTATTTTGAGCCATTGGCTTTAGTCTCTTTTTCTTCAAATACGCCAAGAAATCTTCTTCACATCTTTTCACTTCATAGCCTTCTTTAAACTCCTCCTTGTTAAGTTCTATGAAATCCTTTATATCATTCTTTGTTGCAATGGCTTCTTCACGAACGACATCGTGAACTATTTCATCACTGCATTCATGAACGACCTCCTCACTGTTCTCATGAACTATTTCAACACTGTTCTCATGAACGACCTCCTCACTGTTCTCATGAACTATTTCATCACTGTTCTCATGTATGACCTCCTTACTGTTCTCATGAACTATTTCATCACTGTTCTCATGTATGACCTCCTTACTGTTCTCATGAACTATTTCATCATTGCATTCATGTATGACCTCCTCACTGTTCTCATGAACTATTTCAACACTGTTCTCATGAACGACCTCCTCACTGTCTTTCATAAGCGTTTCAAAGTCTCCTTTACTCATTACTTCAATCTCATGCTGTTCACAGTAGTACTTAAACTCACTGTATATGTCTTTGTTGTATGTTATATTGCTTCCCATGTACTCCATGAATTTTTCAAGCACTTCCTCATAATTCACTGTTTCTTTCTTTCCACGACCTTCTAATAACATACTTGCTTCATAAATATAACTTCTTGCAGAACCGTCTCGCTTTCTACTTCTCTTCACAAATTCTCTCATCTTGCCACCAAATACATTTGAACTACATGCAAAGAATTCATTCTCCTTCGCAAATTCTTTATATCTTCTGTAGCACTCTGTACAATTCCATCCGGATACAAACTTTTCATAGAACTCCTCGTAAAACATTTGGTAAGGTGTTTTGTTCATTTCGATGAGTTCTTGTTTAGCCCTGGTGAATGGTATCTTCCTTACATCAAATTCACTTAAATCTTTCTTCATGAAGTACGTCAGTAAGTTTGAATAAAACTCTTCATTAAAGCTTTCAATGAGATTTGAGAAATATTCGTAATTTCCTTTGTATCTGCTGCTTACGTCAATGACAACAAATCTTCTGTCGTCTTTGTCAATCTTTACTGAGTTGAAGTTGTTAGATATCATGATGATATTACAAACATTCTCTATCTTTCTTACTGGCTGACACTTCTGATTTAAGTCCAACTGAGTCTCTGTTACTATTGACTTTAGTGCGTCGTGGTTCATGACCTTAGACGTATCGCATGAGCTTAGTTCATTGCATACGATGAGCTTCATGTTCTCAATAGCAGCATTGAATCTACCAACCACATTCTCTATTGCCGTTATATTATTGTTGGCGTACTTGCTAATGAGCTCGCATAGAACATTACTAAGTACATTCTTACCAGTTCCTTGCTTTCCTATTAACAAAAGTACTGTTCCAGTCTTTCCACAAGGATTTTGAACGATGTAGGCGAACCAGTTCAAAACATACTCATAAAGCTCTTCATCCTCATTACATATGACATCGTGAACATGTTTCAAATATCCTTCAATAACGCTTTCATCTACTTCATTCAGTACCTCATACTCATATCCTCTGAAATAGCTGTAAATGTCATCTCTTTCGTCAAAGAATCTCATGCCTGACTTCATAAGATAGTTCTTGTTCTGACCCGCTTCATAAATCATCAGTGCGTTCACATCCTTCTCCTCAATACGTCCTACATAAATACTCTTCATGAGCTTATTGAATTCCTTGCTATCTATTGATACAAGTGTTGTTGTGTCTCGTATTCCATCATAATCTTTCACTAGATATGTCATACGTGCTCCGTCAATAACGACAACACATCTTCTTAAGTCATTTATAACACTAGCTATGTCAATACCGTCCTCACTCATGTACTTATTTTTCCTCAAGTCCTTTAGTGTGAAAGTGTCTCTAAGTTCTATTTCAAACAATTCATTTACATGTCCTTTGCAATACTTCTCTATAAAATATTTCTGTCGTTCTTTACTAAGTTTCTTAACAGCTCTGAAGAACCATGTGTTTTGACTCAAACATCCTTCACAACTTCTCTCATTCATTCCTAGTTCTTTCATGTCATTATCTTCAATCTCTATGGTCTCATTGACTAAGGTCAAAGGGTTCTTAGTCATTGCTGGTCTTATCTGAAACAATGTTTGTGCAACAGGTTTAACTAGTTCAGCAACGTCCTTCCTTAATATGAATAGCTGTTTCCACTCATCTTTGCTAACAGTTCTTTCATAACCACTGACAGTAATGATTTCATTTGCTGACTTTAGACACTTATGTTCTATCATTTGTATTGCTTTTGTGTAAGGCTTTCGTGAGCATAGGTTGTATATGTCATTCCTGCAATGTTCATTCATGCCAATAGTACTAAATCCTTTCTTTGCTGTTGAATGCATAATATCCATTAGTTCCTGTGTTCGTATTGCTGTCTCATAAAATACAACAAGACCTTTGTCATCTATGACGTACTTACCGAAAACATTGCTTATATTCTTTAACCATGAAATAACATCCTCATTCATGCTGTCAAACATGAAGTAAGGTCTTACATACTCTTCACTTATAAGATACTCCACAAAGTACTTGTTAAGCTCTATGTCCTCGTGAGCGATTTCATTAGGTTTGATATTAGTTCCTTTTGTCATTGCTGTCATGTACTTCACTCTCATAGTTCCTTTCAATAGCGTAAAAATACTTCATTGTTTCATAACTGCTCTAAATTCTGTTCAAAATTCGTACAACATAACTTTTTAACATTAGTGAAAGAACATGAGCGAAACAAAACATCTAACATTACAGAAGAAGTCAATGACAATGCCGATGAAAACATTACAGAAGGAGCTAGTGAAAATATTGACGAGTTCAGTGAGGAAGAAGATATTGAGGACGTCAATGAGAACGTTAGTGGGGAACAAACTCAATGGGAAACATTGAGAAATCATGAAGATTATGAGATTTTGTACGACATATCCTTTTACTATTCGTCGAAAGAAAGACAAACATATTATGAGTGAATACTTAAATAATTATGGTTATATTGTGCTTAGTTTAAACAACAAAATGTACTTAAAGCATAGAATTATTGCAGAACAGTGGATTGAAAATACAAACAATTTGAAAGAAATAGACCATATAAATCATGATAGAACGGACAACAGAATCTCAAACCTTCGTTGGTGTTCTAGATCTGAAAACAATAGAAATAAAAGCAAGTATGGCGATATAGTTTATGAGTTCGTTGATGAAATATCTGACGAAGCTGTTGAAATAACAGATTATGGTAAGCATTCGTTTGAGTTCTACTACTATGTTGAGAATGAGGACGCATTCTATTATTATACAGGTCTTAACTATCGAAAACTTCATATAAACTTTACAAAAACAGGTACTGCTTATGTTTGTATGATAGATACAGAAAACAAGAGTGTAATTTTATTCATAAACAAATTCAAACGCTTGTACGGGTTCATGTAGGACAAACATTATTTTTCAACACTAACACCAACACTTAGGACAAACATTCATGACTAACATTACTGTATAACATAGACACTAACTGCATCGAAACTAAACGTAAATGCTTTGTCAAAACTTCATCGTATATGTTTTGTCAAAACTTCATAATAAATGCTTTGTTATGACCTCATGGAACTTAAACGTAAATGATTTGTCAAAACTTCATCGTATATGCTTTGTCAAGACTTCTTCATCGTAAATGTTTTGTCATGATTTCATCGTATATGTTTTGTCAAACATGAACGTATATGCTTTGTCATGACTTCTTCGTATATGCTTTGTCATGACTTCTTCGTATATGTTTTGTCAAAACTTCTTCGTAATGAGTGTAAATGATTTCATATGATTGTTTCCCTCGAAAAACCGAGAGAAGAGATTCCATATGAAAATCGCAAGAATTTGGCTCCTGGTTTGAAATATTATTATGTTCATAGACTTCATCGTAAATGTTTTGTCATGACTTCATCGTATATGTTTTGTCATGACTTCTTCGTATATGTTTTGTCATGACTTCTTCATCGTATATGTTTTGTCATGACTTCTTCGTAATGAACGTATATGTTTTGTCAAGGTTTCATCGTATATGCTTTGTCATGACTTCATCGTATATGTTTTGTCATGACTTCATCGTAAATGTTTTGTGAAGAATATAACAACCGCCTGAATTCAGACGGTTGCTTTTTATACAAAATTCACACAGGAAAATTCTTGAGTTTTGGTTGAAAGAATACGGTCGAGCCAAAAGTGGCTCAACCTCAAAACAAGCATTTTATGAGCTTACTAAGGGTGTTATAAATGAATTCAAAGGTATTTACATACATCCTGACTTCGTTCATTTTGTTGCTGAATGGTGCTCTGTAAAGTATGCATTTTATGTCAAAGATATTATGGACTCCATAGACAAGAAAGTTCATGAGAAGTTAGATGAAGAAGAACTCGAAGATACAGTAGAGAATGTAAAAACAAGCATTTTATGATCTTACTAAGGCGTTATGAATGAATTCAAAGGTATTTGCATACATCCTGACCTCGTTCATTTTGTTGCTGAATTCAGCAAAAATAATGTTTAGGGTAGATGGTTTTTAGGTGTCACTACGTCACCATGTCACCAGGTTAATTAACTTCTCTTAAAATTACTGACAACATGACATTTTGACAACAGTCCAGGAAATATATTTTATCGTATATGCTTTGTCATGACTTCATCGTAATGAACGTAAATGTTTTGTCATGATTTCATCGTATATGCTTTGTCAAACATGAACGTATATGTTTTGTCATGACTTCTTCTTCGTATATGTTTTGTCATGACTTCTTCATCGTAATGAGCGTAAATCAGACAAAAATATATTTTAGGTGAAGAGGTGAGATCTCACCTCTTTTCTCACCTCTTTTCTCACCTCATTGAATTTTCATGATTTCTTCGTATATGTTTTGTCATGACTTCTTCGTATATGCTTTGTCAAGACTTCTTCATCGTAATGAGTGTAAATGACCCAAAAATAATGTTTAGGTGAAGAGGTGAGATCTCACCTCTTTTCTCACCTCATTGAATTTTCATGACTTCTTCATCGTAATGAGCGTAAATGTTTTGTCATGATTTCATCGTATATGCTTTGTCAAACATGAACGTAAATGTTTTGTCAAGATTTCTTCGTATATGTTTTGTCATGACTTCTTCATCGTAATGAACGTATATGCTTTGTCAAACATGAACGTAAATGATTTGTCGAAACTTCATCGTATATGTTTTGTCATGACTTCTTCGTACATGTTTTGTCATGACTTCTTCGTACATGTTTTGTCATGACTTCTTCATCGTAATGAACGTATATGCTTTGTCAAACATGAACGTATATGCTTTGTCGAAACTTCATCGTATATGCTTTGTCAAACATGAACGTATATGATTTGTCGAAACTTCTTCATCGTAATGAGTGTAAATGTTTTGTCATGATTTCATCGTATATGTTTTGTCATGACTTCTTCATCGTAATGAGCGTAAATCAGACAAAAATATATTTTAGGTGAAGAGGTGAGATCTCACCTCTTTTCTCACCTCTTTTCTCACCTCAGCCGCTAAGCGGCGAGACCCAAAGGGTCTTGAATTTTCATGATTTCTTCATCGTATATGTTTTGTCGAAACTTCATCGTATATGCTTTGTCATGACTTCATCGTATATGTTTTGTCATGACTTCTTCATCGTATATGCTTTGTCAAACATGAACGTATATGCTTTGTCATGATTTCTTCGTATATGTTTTGTCATGACCTCTTCGTATATGCTTTGTCATGACTTCTTCTTCGTATATGCTTTGTCAAAACTTCATCGTACATGTTTTGTCGAAACTTCATCGTATATGTTTTGTCGAAACTTCATCGTATATGTTTTGTCATGACTTCATCGTAAATGTTTTGTCATGACTTCTTCATCGTAATGAGCGTATATGCTTTGTCATGATTTCATCGTAAATGCTTTGTCAAACATGAACGTATATGTTTTGTCATGACTTCTTCGTATATGTTTTGTCATGATTTCATCGTAATGAGCGTAAATCAGACAAAAATATATTTTAGGTGAAGAGGTGAGATCTCACCTCTTTTCTCACCTCTTTTCTCACCTCATGAATTTTCATGACTTCTTCATCGTAATGAGCGTAAATGATTTGTCATGATTTCTTCGTTTATGCTTTGTCAAACATGAACGTATATGCTTTGTCAAACATGAACGTATATGTTTTGTCATGACTTCTTCTTCGTATATGCTTTGTCATGACTTCTTCATCGTAATGAGTGTAAATGTTTTGTCATGACTTCTTCGTACATGTTTTGTCATGACTTCTTCATCGTAATGAGTGTAAATGTTTTGTCATGATTTCATCGTACATGTTTTGTCATGACTTCTTCATCGTAATGAGTGTAAATGTTTTGTCATGACTTCTTCGTACATGTTTTGTCATGACTTCTTCGTATATGCTTTGTCATGACTTCTTCATCGTAATGAGCGTAAATGATCCAAAAATAATGTTTATGTTAGAATGTTAGATCTAACACCTTTTCTAACATGTTTTCTAACATGGAGGATTTCATTAGATATAAATATTATTTGGTGAAAGTATCCTAAAAATATTTGATGGACTTTAACTAAAATAATGTTTAGTGAAGAATGTTTATATCAGATGAAACAGTAAAGTATTATATCTATTAAATCGTCTATGATGTAAATTGTGTATAGAATGAAATGGAGGATTTCATTAGATATAAATATTATTTGGTGAAAGTATCCTAAAAAATTTTGATGGACTTTAACTAAAATAATGTTTAGTGAAGAATGTTTATATCAGATGAAACAGTAAAGTATTATATCTATTAAATCGTCTATGATGTAAATTGTGTATAGAATGAAATGGAGGATTTCATTAGATATAAATATTATTTGGTGAAAGTATCCTAAAAATATTTGATGGACTTTAACTAAAATAATGTTTAGTGAAGAATGTTTATATCAGATGAAACAGTAAAGTATTATATCTATTAAATCGTCTATGATGTAAATTGTGTATAGAATGAAATGGAGGATTTCATTAGATATAAATATTATTTGGTGAAAGTATCCTAAAAATATTTGATGGACTTTAACTAAAATAATGTTTAGTGAAGAATGTTTATATCAGATGAAACAGTAAAGTATTATATCTATTAAATCGTCTATGATGTAAATTGTGTATAGAATGAAATGAAGGATTTCATTAGATATAAATATTATTTGGTGAAAGTATCCTAAAAATATTTGATGGACTTTAACTAAAATAATGTTTAGTGAAGAATGTTTATATCAGATGAAACAGTAAAGTATTATATCTATTAAATCGTCTATGATGTAAATTGTGTATAGAATGAAATGAAGGAAGAATATTTATATCTAATGAAATCCTCCATGTTAGAAACATGTTAGAAAAGGTGTTAGATCTAACATTCTAACATAAACATTATTTTTGGATCATTTACGCTCATTACGATGAAGAAGTCATGACAAAGCATATACGAAGAAGTCATGACAAAACATGTACGAAGAAGTCATGACAAAACATTTACACTCATTACGATGAAGAAGTCATGACAAAACATGTACGATGAAATCATGACAAAACA